GAATGCAAATAAGAAGCACTTCCCCTTCCCACACCAGTGGCAACTTTAATAATTAATGGGCACCTTTTCTCTCTGAGCCCAGATACAGCCTCAGAATCCTGCTTAACCCAGTGTCCAGGCAGCACTACCATTAGGAGGTGGCACCAGAGGTAGAATCTGTTTGCCAGCCCTGAACTAGATAGTCTCTAAGGCCAGGGCTGCCACATTCAGTTGTGCAGGAGGGTCACTGTATAAAGGTGCCTGGCCAAAGGGGTGAGTGAAATCCAGCCCATGTTTCACTCTCCAAGCCTCAAATCCTGGCATGGGGCCACGCCTGTCTCACAAAGAAGCTATGGTCAGTGGCACAGGTCCTACTCAGATGCTGTAGGTTGCTGCCTCTGCTGGTGGGTCATGGCTGACCATGCCAGGTGGCCCCGTTGAGGCTGAGCTCTGGAGCTGGTCACCTCCATGTGTCCTCAGCCCAGAGGCCGGCAGCCCTGGCTCTTCGAGCAGAGCAGCTGCGCTCTCCTCTAGGCTGCCAGGGCCAGCCGGGGCAGCAGTGGTAGAGTGGGCAAGGGGGAGGATGAGGTGGGGCCGGTGAGCAGTTCTGAGTCCTCTCTCCTGCCCCGGGGCTGACTCACTGACCATGCTGGCCCCGGGATGGAGATGGGGCTGGAGCGCACGGTCCAGGGCATCCTCCCTCCTGTCTCAAGCCTGTCCCTCCGCCTTCCCCAGGGGTGTGGGCTTCAGCTTCCTCTTCGCTGCGCCCCTCATCCTCCTTGTCTTCGCCACCTTCCTGCTGGGTGGCAACGTGCAGACCCTGGTGTGCCGGAGCTGGGAGAGCGGGGAGCTCTATGAGGTGGGCCTGCCCCGCTCTGGGGCCCAGAGGGACGTGGAGAGAACTGTGGGCAGAGCAGGAGGTTTAGAAGGAAGTAGGAGCCCGAGGGGTTAGAAGGGAGAGAGAGACAGGAGGAATGATGGAGACGGCCAAGGAAAGAGATGGAAAACCGCCAGTGAGAGAAAAGAGCCAGTGAGTCCCCGGAAGGCTGCCCAGGCCCCAGGCAGGGACCTCGAAGGATGGCCCCCAGACCTGAGGCCCTCTGCCCTCCTAACACTGAGTCTGGGAATTGGGGATCCTTGTTCCCTGTTGCATTGAGCAGGTGAGCCGAGATGCTGGCCTGGGTCCTCTGCTGAAGACAGGCTGGCCACCCTCCTGGAGAGTCACAGGGAGGGTCCCTGCCAGGATTCAGGGCCCAGGAGTGATCTGAGTTAGAGGCAGGTGTGGGCTGGAGTCCCAGGGTTGTGGTCTCTGCTGTGCCAGGGCAGCGTGGGACTAGGCCCTGGGAAGCTGGGTGGCCTTGCCCCCCACTCCCCGCTCCAGGCCCGTTCCTGTGTGTCCCATCCCCAGTTTGCAGACACTCCGGGGAACTTGCCGTCATCCATGAACTTGTCCCAACTTCTTGGCCTGAGGAAGAACCTCGGCATCCTCCTGGCCTATCAGTGAGCGGGAAGCCTGGGCTGGGGGCCGGGGTGTGAGGAGGGGCTGAGGTGGGCATCCCATTAGGATGACGTCAGCCCCCACCTGCCCTCCCTCCTCTCATCTCTGATGCCTGTCGTTCCTCCGCAGGCAGTGCAAGCAAGGGGCTGCGCTCTGGACGGTCCTGCAGCTCAGTGACTCCTATGACCTGGAGAAACACCTGGATATCAGCCAGGTGAGAGAACCTTCTAGAACACACTGGGGACCCTTCCTGCAGATCCCCCCTCTTCTGGTCTTGCCTTGCTGGAGGGACCATCTCCTTGAACCCGAGAAGTCTACAAGAGCAGTGAGGCGCCTCAGGGGCAGAGGACCCGGGTGTAAGCTCAGGACCTGGCCCAGGCCTAGAGCCCAGGGCAGCTTCCAGAGCGTATGGGTGAGTGCGTGAATGCCTGGAGGCTCTGACCAGCTCTGAGCACTGCGCTCCCAGAAAAGCTGAACACAGGTGAGATTGAGGCCGGACAGGGTGGTGACAGTGAGTGAGAGGACTAGGGTGTGTGTCCTGACTGAGGACAGGCATCGGTTTGGATGCTGCAGTTGGGAGCGGGGAGGTTGGCGAGGGAGTGTGACAGTGAAGACGATGGTGATGAAGTTGGGTACCACTGGAGGAGGGCTCCCCACAGCCTGTTCCCTAACCACTGGACTTTGCCAGAACTTGCTATGTAGAACTGGAGAGATTTACTCACACTGGCAAGAGGCAGTTCTGGAACAAAGAAAAGGAAGTGCTCCTTCATGAGAGGAGACGTACTTTGAGAACGTGGTTCTCCTGAGGGCGCACGGAAGCTGTAAAACACCCCCTCCTTTCCTCTCTTCACGCCTGAACGAGGTGGGGGGAGAGCTGCCTTGGCCCCCAGGGCCCCCCAGGAGCCCTTCCCAAGCACATCCTGGGAAAACCACATCTCTCCCCCCTGCTTCCCCCCCCCCACCCCTCCTAAACTGCTAACTCCTGATTCTGCCTTGTCTCCAGAAACCTTCCAACTCCTCTTGAACCCACCACCTGCCCCTAGTCCGCAGGGTAGCATAGCCAAGTGGTCCAGATTTCAGTCCCAATTCCACGCCTTAAACTATAACCTGGGGCAGTTTCCATAACGCCGTAGCCGTCTCGTCTTTCAGCGTCTCTAATCAGAGGAGAGGTCCACTGAGCCGGCCCTGTCCTGGTGCAAGGCCACAGGGTGAAGGCTGGCCATGGAGGGCTGCAGCAGGGGGCCTGAGAAGACGAGGCCCTGTGCTCTGCTGGCTGAAAGGGGAGGGCTCTCAGCCCTGGTCCAGGGAAGGGAGGGGTTCAGGTCACAGAAGAGTCTGGACAGATAGGGCTTCAGATCCAGAGGGACTGGGCAGTCCTTGGGGGCCATCTGGCAACAAACCAAATGTGACCTTAGGAGAACTTGTCCTCGGAGGAGATAATAGTGAGCTGATGATGCAGAGATAATTAAGACAAGGTGTGCTTTCCCGGGCACCACGAGGACTCTGCCCGCCTTGAGACATCTCCTTTACCTGTGTGTTACTGGTGCCTGAAATGCTGCTCCAAGACCCCTGCCTCTGAGAGGATGGGCCTTTTCTCCCCCTGGGGAAGGCAGTGTGAGAGATGGCGAGAGGTGAGCTGAGCTGGGCTCCGTACTCTGAGGCTCCGTCCTGTCTTCAGCCTCTCACCTGTGAAACATTGGGGCTGAATTTCATGCCCTTTAAATCTCTCCCAGCAATGGTTGGAAAATGTCGAGTCCCTTTTTTTTTTTTTTTTTTTTTTTTGCGGTACGCGGGCCTCTCACTGCTGTGGCCTCTCCCGTTGCGGAGCACAGGCTCCGGATGCGCAGGCTCAGCGGCCATGGCTCACGGGCCCAGCCGCTCCGCGGCACGTGGGATCTTCCCAGACCGGGGCACGAACCCGTGTCCCCTGCATCGGCAGGTGGACTCTCAACCACTGCGCCACCAGGGAAGCCCTCGAGTCCCTTTTTAAACTGTGCTCTGTCTTAGAAATGTGATTGTGTCTATTCACTCATTCATTCGTTCACTCATTTTTACACACTCAACAAATTTGTATGGCACCCACCACATATGAGCCTCTGCTCTAGATGCTGAGGGTTTGGTACAGAGTGGGCAGATGAGGTGCCATTCTCATGGAGCTGATGGCAGTAAACTAGTACCCAGATAAGTAAATAGCACACAGGTGCTGTGAAGACCTTAACACAAGGTGATGTGATAAAGATGGGCCGGGGAAGCTATTTTTCTTCTGGGTGGCCTGGGAAGGTCTGTGCTGCTGTCCAGTAGCCAGATAGGCACTAGAGGAGAGCTGGGTCTCGGTGGGGGTAAGGTGGAGTTGGGGATGGGTGGGGAGCAGAGGCCTGCTGGGAGCCTGTCTGGGGCTGAGAGTGTCCAGGGTAGGGGCCCTGGATATCCGGAAGGAGGGCCCTGAGGGCCTGCTGACCCCTCACCTAGGATAGCAGCTGTGGGGTCCTGGCTCACCCACAGAGCATGGCTGCACCCTGCTTCCTCCCTCCCAGTACACTGCCAAGCTGCAGCAGGAGTTGCAGAAACTCAAAGTGGAAGTGAAGAATCTGGACCTGCTGAGCCCAGCCGCCCACCAGGACCTGGAGGCCCTGCAGAGCAGTGGGCTCGAGAGCATCCACTACCCAGGCTTCCTTGTTGAGGTCAGCAGTGGGCACCTCAGGCCAGACCACGGCAGAGCAGAGGGGCCCGCGGAGGAGCTGGGGGTCGGGGAGCTGTCTCACCTTGTCTTGGCCCTCCCCCGTCCCTGGACCCCTCCACATGTCCCTGGGGCCTCTTCTGCTGCGGGTGTCTCCAGACCATGTGCCCCAGCTGCCAGCACCTGGGCTGGGCGAGGATGAATGTGCCTCCACCCAACAGCGTCTGTTGCTGTCCATGGTCCTGAACCCACTGCTGTGGCGAATGCTGGTGGGACGTCACCTCTCCGTTGGGTTACACCAGAGGGCGCCTCATTTTTCTTTCTTTCCTAATGGAAAGTGTCTCATATGTTTCACAATTTCAGGTCAAACCCACTGTGACTGATGTGTCACAATAGACTTAGCTGGTGTGGGTGCTTTTGAAAAGACTGGGAATTCTGGGGCTGGGGGAGCCGGGGTTCATTCCCTCTTGGCCTCTCCTGTCCGTCTTCAGATTCAGAAGCCTGTGGTGAACATCAGCGTGGAGAAGCTGGCCCAGGAGCTGGAGGGACTGGCCCAGACCCAAGTGAGAAGGGAGCAGAGACCCCACTTGGCAGGCTGGAGCCAGAGGCCTGGGACGGGGGACGGGGTGGGAGTGCCTGGATTGGGGAGGAGACTGAGGGCCCCTGCCACCGGGGGCTGAGACTCTGGACCCCCGGCTGGGATGAAGGGTTCTGTAGCATCAGTTCTGGCTCGAGCTCTACCGCCCACTGGCTGTGTGGCCTTGGGCAAATCATTCCTCATCTCTGGGCCTCGGCGTCTTCATCTCTAAAGTGGATTATCACGCACCTCAGATCAGATGACGTCACATGGTCTGACCTCGCACAGCTGGGCAAGCACTGCTAGATGCACACCGCTTGTGGAATCTGCTGGGACAGATGCTGTGAGGACAGCCCGATGGATCAGATATCGTGACAGTTGCCTCTAGAAGCTTAAGATGTACTGGGAAAAGTAGCACTTTGTATTTATATAGAGAGTTTAAAAAGTTCTCTTCAAGACATCTCATAGACACCCCTCCCCTACCCGCCACGATGCGCAGAGCAAGCTAGGGCCGGACTTGGAACTTGGGCTCAGGCCCCCAAACCCAGATCTGGCCAAGGAACTTAAGGAGGCCTCAGTTTTCTGCCTCTGAGGCCAACCTCTGATTCCAGCACTTTCCACATCCCTCCAGTATGTCTGGTCGAACGGTTTGGTGAAGGATGTGTCGTCAAAGCCTGTCTCGGCCCCGGGCAGAGTGCCATTCTGATATGTCTCCCCTCAGGGCAATACTGTGCTGGGGCAGCAGCTGCAGAAGGAGGCCCAGGGGCTCAGAAACCTCCATCAGGAGAAGCTCCTCCTCCAGCAGAGGCTTGTGGTAAGTCTGGAGGCTCAGGGAGTCCGGGACCTGGAGGGGAGATGCAGGGAGGGGGCAAGGAGGAGGAGACGGATGCTGGGAACCCTCCCTCCTACCAATTCCTTCCCCTGACCAGCCCTGATCTGTTTTTCACAGGCTAAGCTCAACCTCAGTGTCCATGCCCTGGCATCCTCTGCCCCACTTCTCCAGGTGGCTGCTGGGGATGGATGGGGCTGGGGGAAGCAGGTGGGCAGCAGAGGGAGGAAGAACATGCGGGCCCAGCTGGCTTGGGACCTCGCCTGCTCTACCCAGGCCCACTTGAAGTTGAGGGTGGGGTGGGAAGAAATGAGGGTGGGTGGACAGATCCTTGAGGACCACCGTATGTGTCCTCTGTCCTTAGGGCCTAACACCGCCCACCCCAAGGTGAGTATGTTGTGTGCCGTACGTTGAGTTAATGAATGGATGAGTGAATGGGTGGCTGTTCCCTGACCGAGCCCCTCTCCTCTCCCCCAGCCGGAGACCTCAGATGTCCTGGACAGAGTCGCTCACCTGAAAGGAGAGCTGCCTACCTGGGCCACCCGTATCCTGAAGAATGTGAGTGGGAGGATGGGGCAGGGCTGGGGGGTGGCTTCAGAGTCAGAGGTGAGTTGAAGGGTTAAGGCTCGCAGGGCTCCCACCCCAGGATTCTCCAGCCCTGCCCCCTCACCGTGGCTCCCAGGAAAGCCAGCTTGGCCTGTCCTGATGGTGCCAGGCATGGGGGGCAGGGGTGCTGGCCCTGGGACTCCGACCAGCCCAGGGCTCCTCTCTTCCCTGCAGGAAAGTGAGTGTTTCCTGACCCGGGAGATGGGCTACTTTTCCCAGTACGTGGCCTGGGTGAGAGAGGAGGTGAGTGTGGGCTCAGACTCTCCTGGCCTCAGGCAAGCTTCCAGCGGTACCAGCTGTTCGACCTCCTCTGCCCCCCGAGAACCCCTGGGGGTGCCCTAGGCCTTCAGGATTGAACCCAAACCCCCAAACCTGGCACCTGGCTGGCTGGGTTCTGCCCATCCCCCAACCTCTGCCATAGCCCTTCTCTGAGGCCTGAGCGTGGACCGGGCTGTCTACCACCCACACTGGACCGGCAGGGGTCTCGCTTAACCTTGAGTGTGTCTGTACATGCGTGTGCGAACATGTGTGTGCGCAAGTATGTACGTGTGTGCAGTGCATTGTGTGTGTGTGCACACGTGTTGCCTCCCAGTGAGCGTGTGACTTAGAGAACAGCTCTGGGCACACAGTATGGGCTTAACCCAGGCTGATGAACAGGGTGGGAAAGGCAGGAGGTGAGCGATGAGCTGATGGCAGTGTGTCCTCCCTTCTCTGTGTTGCCACATCCGTGTGTCTGTGTACAGCTGTGCAGTGGCTCCCCACTGTGTCCCTGGGTCTGTCTGTGTCCCTGTCGACCTCCCTCTGAGCACCTGCGGGTCTGGGTGTGTCTGCATGTACCTGCCTCACGTTGACACCACAGGTGACTCAGCGCATCGCCACCTGCCAGCCCCTCTCCACAGCCCTGGACAATGGCCGTGTGATCCTGTGTGACATGGTGGCTGACCCCTGGGTGAGTGCCCCCCAGCCCATCAGGGCTCGTGGACCTGGAGGCCCCCACGGGAGGGGCAGCGTGAGCGGGGCCCTGCCCCGGGCCTATACCCCCGTCCTTTCCCTCAGCTCTGAGAATGAGTCCCCGTGCCCCACACTGAGTCAGCGGGGGGACTGGGGGTGCCCAGACACAGTGCACTGACCTCACCTCCTCTGTTCCAGAACGCCTTCTGGTTCTGCCTGGGCTGGTGCGCCTTCTTCCTGATCCCCAGCACCATGTTCGCTGTCAAGACCTCCAGATACTTCCGTTCCATCCGGAAACGCCTCAGGTGAGGAGGCTGCCAGGCCTGTGGGGTGCAGCAGGGGCCCAGGCAGGAGCCCTTCCGGCTGCTGGGCCCGGCCCCTGCTGCACCCCGTCTTGAGACCTCCGGGCAGGGGAGGCTTACGCCTAACCCTGAAGAGTCACACAATCTGAGGAGCTCCAGGGCCAGAAAGTTCTTCCATGTGTCTGCCCTGAATCCTTCTTGCTGCAGCACATCCGCCAGACCTAACTTTTGGGCACTCTTGCTACCCCTGAAGAGCTTCTGAGGCAGGAAATTCCGGGCTCTGGGCTTGTTCCTGTGTCAGGGCTGAGGGCCTGGGCCTGGGGGCCTCACTCACTCACTCCCTGTGATGCTGCAGCACCACCAGCTCTGAGGACACTCAGCCCTTCCACATACCCCGGGTCACCTCCCTGAAGCTCTAGGACCCCAGTGAGTGAGTTTCCCCCCACTTAATTCCTTGGTGCCAAGGGTAGGGCTGAGAAGGGAAGGGAAAGGTTTGGGATCTGGGGTCTCCAGGGCCCAGGAGGGCAGGAAGGTTCTGGGACTTGGCTGGGACCGATAGGCCTGAGCTCAGCTCCCCGCTCCCTCCCCCTCCCCTCCCCCTCGCCCTCCCCTGTTTGTTCTTAATCCACAACAGGGATATGGCCGCAAGGTGATGCATGGGGCTGCCTGCCTTCCCTGCTGACTTGGCCTGGACCAGAGGATTTCTGTCGCTTTTGCCACCAGAGCCCAGGCTGGCATCCAGGCCTGGATTGTCCCCCAATTCCAGTTACCTGAGCCCATCTTGCTACTCCCTTTGCACCCCTTTTTGCTCATGACCCCTTCATTCATGCTCAAAAACACACTTACCTTCTGTTGAATCTCAGAGCCAACAGGTTCCTCCAGGTGTGTCTCCCTCATCCTCCTTGGCAGCAATATTTTAGCTCCAGGAGGAGCCTGTTCACCTAGTGGAACCTCCTCTTCAGCCCCTTGGGCAGGACAGAGGCCCTGCCCAGCCCCACTCTGTCCCATCTGCCCCCCCCCCCGCCCGTTCCTCCCACACCTCTCCAAGCTCCTTGCCCCTTTTCCTCCTCTCCTCTGACCCCCCACTTGCCCCACTTCACTCTGTCCCCCTGCCAGCCCTCACTTCCTCCCCCCAGGGAAGCCCTTTCCCCCCCCCTTTGTCCCCTCTGTACCTTTTGCCACAGGGACCCCTCCTGCCCAACCACACTAATCAGGTAAAGCCACCAAGCAGGCCAGGAGCCACCATGGCCTGGGCCTGGACCGGCTGCAGGCTCTGCCTCGTGGCCCCTGAGCCCTCTGCTGCTCAGGGGGTGGGACCCTTCACAGACCCCGGCCTGGATGTCTGGCCCCCAAGGGGTGTGGGAGGCCCGTGTGAAGGCTGAGCCCCCGTCTGCACCTTGGGCTGGAAGTCACACTGCTGTCCCTCGGCTTAGGGAGCACTGACTCCCTAAGAAGGGACCTGGGACGTGGGGTGGAGCGGGGGCTCCCCCTCGGCCCCCCAGAAGGTAGCCTCTTCGGGAGGCTTTCCCAGGAGAGATCTGGTGGCCACAAGAGGATTTTGCACTGTGGCCCTTACCTCTTCTATCCTATGCCCGTGACTGGGCATCACCCCTAGTCCATCCCTGTGCCCTCCCTGCATGCTGGACCCTGAGTTCCAGAAATGGGGAGGAGGAGGGGAGAGAAGAGGTGGACAGGACCTCGGATCCATTAAAGTGTTCTCACTTGGCTAAGTCTTGGCCTTGGATCCTTCAGCTCTCCCAGGCTAGGGCCCTGGATGTGGTTGGTGCTTAGTGAGTGTTTGTGGAGAGGAGAATCCAAGGCCTCCTCTGACCACAGGCATCCAGGGGTCACCCCAGTAATCAGCAGGTGGGGAGTGGGGCCCACACTGAGAGCAGGCAGACCTGGGTTCACACCTGGCTCTAACGTTTGGTAACCAGGGCACCTTGAACATGATCCATGGGTCCCCTAGACCTCAGTTTTTCCACCTATAAAATGGGGGAAATAGTCATAGCCGCCTCCTAGGGTTGTGAATAATGTGACAATGTGTGGAAATCCCTTGGCAGGGGCCAGGCACAAAACAAATACTCAAATGCTGCTTTTTTTTTTTTTTGGCCATGACTGCTCTGGGCCGGGGGCAGAGCTGGGTCTGGGCCGATGCAAGCGAAGAGGGAGATGGGTCCCTGTTCAAAGGAGCAGAAAGCCCTTCAAGATTAGAGTCTGCTGAGTTTCAGAGGGTGTCTATGTTTAGTTGCATCTTACAAACCAGCAACAAATTTGCTACTAGAAATTGGGACGGTGCCTACACAATGTATTGTCACTATTGCACGCACACTCTCAGACCAGCATCCTTGAATGTAGCACAATCGCCTCTTCTGGGCTTTTCCCAGAGGATTCTTGGCTTGCTTTTCATGTTGCCCTGTGTGGGGAACTGTAGCACCCTGCATTTTAAGAATGAGATTGATGGGATAAAAATAGAACTAGAAAATGATTAAAAAATCATTTCTAGTTCTTTATCAAAATTGCCTATCTTATCTTTTATGTATCTGAGCAAACCAAGTATAGTTATTTTACAGTTCAGTAACTCCCTAATATGGAGCCTCTGTGAGTCTGTTTCCAGTGTCTGTTGTTTCTCTTGGTTTTTGTTAGTATTGTCTTTTGTCCTTGCATACTTGGCAAAAATTGAGTGCCACACATTTTTTTTTGTCTTTTTTCTTTTTTCTTCTTTTTTTTTTTTTTGCGGTACGCAGGCCTCTCACTGCTGTGGCCTCTCCCATTGCAGGGCACAGGCTCCGGACGTGCAGGCTCAGCGGCCATGGCTCACGGGCCCAGCCGCTTCGCGGCATGCGGGACCCTCCCGGACCGGGGCACGAACCCACTTCCCCTGCATCGGCAGGCGGACTCTCAACCACTGCGCCACCACGGAAGCCCAAGTGCCACACATTTTATATGAAAACCTGTAGAAATAATTTGAGGCACAGAATGAAATTATCTTGCTCCATGAGGATTATGTTTACCTCAGGCAGATGCCTTGGGATCCTGCAAACCAGGTTGTTTTACTTTACTTTCAGGGACTGAGATGATTTGCAGTCCCTTGGAGCACTTGTCTATTTCTAGTTCATTCATATTCTGGGGGTGAAACCCTCTGGGGTCCCAAACCAAAGCATGAAAGATTTGCCGGGTACCCCCTGCTCCTGGTGGGCCTAGTTTTTTGTTTTTTGTTTTTTTTAATTTAATTTAATTTTTTTTGTGGTACGCGGGCCTCTCACTGTTGTGGCCTCTCCTGTTGCGGAGCACAGGCTCCAGACACGCAGGCTCAGCGGCCACAGCCCACTGGCCCAGCCGTTCTGAGGCATGTGGGGTCTTCCCGGACCGGGGCACGAACCCATGTGCCCTGCATCGGCAGGCGGACTCTCAACCACTGCGCCACCAGGGAAGCCCGGTGGGCCTAGTTTTAACCTCCTTAGTCCCAGAGGCTGTTAACTGCTCTGCTCAGCACCTTTGCAGTATCTTCTGGGCTCAGCAGACGCCCTAGGGAGAAAGTAACCCCAGCTGCCAGCACACATCTCTGGGTTTCCTCCTTTTCCCAGATCTTGGCCCTGTGATTTTTTTACAGCCTTGTTTGCTCCCTGATATCCCTGAATCAAACTTTAAAAAATATATTTTTTGAGCAGCTTTTAGTTGTCCTCAGTTGGGAATTTAGTCCAAATTACCTAGTCCCAGCATGATCAGAAGTTAACAGTCCTAAAAAGTTAACTGAGTTTCCCCCTGTGAATTGGGAAAGGCTGCCGCTCATTGAATTTAGTATCCAGAAACCTTGGCCTAGGGCATTGCACATGGACTTTTCAAAGGAGCTCAGTTCAGAGCATCACTGGGCTCTGGTAACCTGGGGGTGGGGTGGCACTCAGCAGGTGACAAATAGCCACAGAGAGAAATATATTACATATTTTCCCAGTTTTAAAATGCTGGGATCCTACAATGCTCATCCTACGTTATGTGTGAAACAAAGCCCCTTCGAGGTCACAGTCTCATCTGTTCTTATGACATTCCCTGAAGCAGGTGGGGATCGTCATCCTTGTTTCACGGTTGAGCAGATGAAGCTCTGAGAAGCTCTGTGGCTGATTCAAGGTCCCATAAGTTAAAGCCCCGCCAGGCCTTGATTCAGATGCCCTGACCCTGGTGGCCCTGGAGGTTTCCTCCTGGGCACGCTGTCAGCCGCGTTCCCTGTGGGTGTGTGGGAGGGAGGCTCCGTCTCCCAGGAGATATGATCCAAGTGTCCTTGCTGTCCCTGTAGCAGGAGGGATGACAGATTGGAGGCCCTGGGAGTTCTGCCAGCCTGGCCATCCCCGAGCAAAGGCCATAAGCAATGGGTGGCAGATTCCGCCAGAGAAATGCTACATGGGCCAGGGTGTCAGGTCCCAGGTGGCTGGCCGGTGTAGTTCTGTCTGGCTCCAGGTATGCAAGGGAAGGGCCATATGGTTAGGGGCCTGCTTAGGCTCCCTGAGGGGACAAACAGAGTTTCATTTACTGAGCTCTGAGTATAAATCGGGAAGTGTGCTGAGCACTCACATGTATTAGCTACGAGATAGACACTGTTATTTACCTATTTATGGTTGAGAAAACTAAGGTACAGGACTGGATGTGGGCTGAGGAGAAAGGGCACAGCTTACCCCAAAGAACCAACTGATAATGGTGGCACTTTATAATTCAGGTGATACCTGAATTCTCTGGGTGGTCAAGGCCAGTGTCCCTCCTACCCTCCTGGACCCAGGGCCTGTGCTCTGAGCTCCTAGCGCCCTGTCTCTCCAGACCTGAATGCAAAGACTGAACCAGGAGGCTGGTGGCCATCCTGGGCCACACCCCAGGAATGCTGGAATGGAGCCTCTTCTCCATGGCCCCTGATCCTTCCTTGCACTTCACGGCTGTGCCACCCCTGGAGCAGTTAGCAGTTACCCATCTTAGAAACAGCACTGCAGCACCGGGGGAGGGAAAGGCAGGGTGTGCACAGAGATGACCCCACCCGGCCCCTGACCTCTGCCCAGCAGCCATGCACAATTTCAGCAGCCCGAGCCCTCACCATACTGAGGGTACCCAGGAGTCAGGCTTTGAGGCTGGGGGAGAGATTTGGGGGAGGCGAGATGAGCGCAAGAGGAGGGGTGGGGGACCCTCCCTTCGCATCAAGCCAGAAGGAAGGGGCTTTAAAGAAAGCCTTCAGAGCCTTCCAGGTGTCCCCTGCAGTTTGAGAAATGCAGCGGATGAGTCCCAGCCCCACCTGCGAGGTCTAAAGCGCAAGAGACAGGCTGGCAGCTTTGCCGGCAGAGCCAGGAAGAAAGCTGCTGGCCCAGACAAGGGCCTTGTGGGAGGGAGGGTCAGCTGGAGGCTGCCTGGGGGGTGGGGGTGGACAAGCCTCAGCTGTGCGGAG